TAAACCATTTGGCAGTAAACACCTGTTAGTTCAGGTGAATTTACATCTTTTGGAGAAGTTTGGTTTTTTAAAGGGTTCAAGTGATTGCAGATGTGAGAGAAGTTTGATTTTTTTTTCCTAAATTTTCATCACATTTCTGGGCTATTTTGAAATTTTGAAAGGTTTTTTCCAGGTTTTTTTCCTGTGCTCCTGGAATATGATTTTCATTAAATCTACATTATATTGTAGAAAATAGGAATTTAGTTCATCAGCTCACTTTCAATACTAAGAATTATTCATTCAAAATGCTTTTCTGTTATCAATTCTCCAGAATTGGATCCCATATTGCATGCAATGTTTCATAATTGTGCAAGTAATCAATCCCAAGTAGGGGCAGAAAGCTGAGTGATTTCACATACTTTTTGAATGAATCACAAATCCATTCCCCAGAGGTATTTTGGATTTTTCTGCACCCACATATGTTTTTCTTGTTCTGATTGAGTTTTGGTATTTCAATGGTTATTTCTTTTCCCATCAAGATAGCTAGACGGCTGTCTTTGAGAATTTCAATAATTTTTATGATTCTGAATAATTCTGGGGTGTGTAAATTCCATGAAGGAACACCAGAACATAATCTTAGATAGTCATAGGTTTCTGATTTCAAAGCCTGGAACTCCTCCTTAAGTAATCTTATCCAAGCTAGCAAATAAGACTCAGTTGGAGGCTTCAAAAATCAAGGCACTCAATCAAAAACACATACCTTGTCCTTCTTGTTGGGAGTTTGGAATTTCTGCCCCTACTTGAAATTATAGGAGTAAAAAACTCAGATATTCCATGTGCTTTTAATTAGGATGTGGATGAAACTTACTTCTTGTGAATCCCGTATTCTTCAATGGATTCAAAATGTAAGAAATGTGTTCTTTGGGATACTTGGTTTGTGACATTCCAAAACTTTCCAAGCTTTGTAGGATTCTCAATGCAAGGTTATTGTCTTTTTGGAGGATTAAATTATTTAAGATCAATGTGAGTCTAGATTTATATATCTATGAAGAAAATGATAACATACTTTCTCCCACTGGTACCTGATTAGCTGAATGTCCTGTATGTGTTATATCTGTTGTGGTGAGATTGATCAAACCCATAGCCCATAATTAGAAACACTTTATTACGTATACATAGTAGTTAAAATACTAGAGGGAAGGGGGTAGGTTACGAAACAAACCACATAAATATTACTGGCAACAGTGGGCCGCTACGCTACACTACGCTATTTGACCACTAACTGTTAGTGTAGTGGCCTTTTTATTTCCTGGAAATTCTGTAGTGTTAGCTGACGCTAAACCCCACTACGCTAACTGTTAGTGTAGTGTAAATTTTTCTCTCAAATTTTTTGGTAGTGTTAGCTTCAAATAATCTCAGCTAAACTAACAGTTAGTGTAACTTTTTTGCGCTAGCAAAATTTTGACTGTCAGATAGTGTAACTGATTTAAAGCTAACATTTAGTGTAACTTTTACCAAATTAAGCTACGCTACACTACACTACATGCCTAGTTACGCTACACTACGGTAGAAGTTACACTACACATGTAGTGTAGTGTAAATCATCAATTAGAGAAATTGACATGTCAAGTGAGAATTTATGCTCTTGAACCCTCTTCCTCTGCTTTCTGTTTTCAATGGACAAGTTGTGTGAACTGTCCCTATAACTGATACGGCCAAGGTCCATAGTGATTATTTTCAATGTCCTATGATCACACACAATCCCACAGAAAATTAACAGCATAAGATGTAGAGACAAACAAACGGAGGATGTTCCTGGTGAGATTTGCTACAGACCCTTGTGGTTGTAAGGTTAGTTGGGTGGTAGTTGCCATGGTTCATGCCAACAGCTCCACCACACTCTGGTGATACATCATGGTTACACCTCAACTCCCCCCCCCCCCCTCCCCCCTTGCTACATGATGTGAAAGTGGAAATTGAACAAGTGTGGGAATGGAACCCAGTAAAGTATGATCTGAGGGGGAATTGAACCCATAATCTCAAGGTAGTCTGACAGGGGAATGTGGACTTACAAGTAAGTGTTAAAAATTGGCAGGGGGCTAAAATTGAGTGCCCACATTACTAACTGAAAAAATCATGATCAATTAAGGGGATCTGGATGTAGGCCCCCCAATCAGGCACTGTCTTCAGGGTAGACTAATGCTAGTCATGTGGTCATGTAACTTTTAATCAGTTACGCTAACAGTTAGTGTAACTTTTTCACCAGTTACGCTAACAGTTAGTGTAACTGAGGGTACCACTACGCTAACTGTTAGTGTAACTTTGCAAAAAAGTTACACTAACATGTAGTGTAGTGGGATCACCCACTAACACCGCTAAAAATTCACTAACAGGATTTTGGGTAGTGTTAGTTGTGCCTTTTTAAAGGTAGCTAACACTACGCTAAAGTTTTTTTTTTTTTTTCAAAAATCCTGTAGTGTTAGTGGGCCAAAAATTCCCGCTAACGGTAAATTTTGTGTAGCGTAGCTTAAAAAGCTAACACTACGCTGCACTAACACTACGGTTAGTGTAACTGGCCCACTGTTGTTACTGGGCTAAATTGTAGTTAATTAATTCACAAACTAGGCTTAAGATATTCAATTTCTCATGAATAAAAATTATACAAATAACCTGTAGAACTATAATACATTCATCTTAGAATAGTAAATCAAGCTACTGATAAGAAAGTGCTTCACAGACTAGTTCCAGAAAATAACTCTTATACTAATTAGTCTAAGAATACCATTCTCATATTAATTAAGCTAAGAATAGGCCTTACATAGTAGATTTACAACCTCTTGTATTAGAAAGGCACTTAGAGATTAATTCATATCAGATTGGGCCATCTCAGAGTAGTAAAAACCACTTTAGAAGTAACCTTCTCAGACGAACTTGTGTTCAGGCCAAAATCCCATGTACTGCAGAACAATTTGTCTATAAATAAAGGCTCTTCTAGCCCATGTTTTCCCTTTCCCTCCTCATGCTAGCTACAGAACAGTAATAAGAGATATTACTCAGCTTTCATCACCCCTTGATTAAAGAAATCCAGATATCATTAGAGCCCCTGAACTTCCCTTACCTCAATTTTGGCCATAGACAAGTAATTCAGAAATATTGCTTAGCCATTCTCACCTCTTTGAAAGATTTAGAGAAATCAGCATACCTTTTATCAGAGCCCAGAGAAACCAGAGAGACTTATAAGAACAGAGAACCAGAGAGAAGTTATAACAGATTTAACAGAGAAACCCTACAGAAACCCTTATTACTCAGAAAACCCCATAAACTCCTTACCTCTTCAACAGGTATTCTTAAGCAACAATAACAGTAGTATCAACACTAAGATAAATTTAGAAATAAGCCACACTCTTATTTTTCTTAGTGTAACTTTCCCGCAAGCTAGACAGGAGGGCAGTCTCACCCACACACCAATACTAATTCTACTATTATATAGTCTTATTAGCTATTTTATCCCCTCTAAGCTCTTTACTCAATTGCTGAGCAGTTCCACACTGTGACAGGGGTACATTGGACTCCTTTGAAGAAGCACACAGCAATTAATGCTTGGAGTTGTGGGTGAATTGAAGCCAATCTCATTGTGAAGAGGAGGGCAGGTTTTCCTGAATGTTATGACCACTCACAGGGTATTAATGATTCTGACCTTGCACCAATCAGACATATCTTTGATGACAGAAAGAAATCCCCCCCCCCTAATGATACTTGTAGCAAAGATTTTAAGTTAGAAAAAACTGATATTTATATGAAACAGGGGTATTCAGAATTGAACCATATTCTCCTTACAAAATCCATCAAGTGAAACAATTGGCAGTAATTATGTGAGCAGTTTCTCATCTAATCACTGCTAAATTTCATATACTAGTTTTGAATGAAGAAAATGTGATGTATTGATTGATCCCACATAAATCTTTCTGGAATGTGTGATGTGCATAAATCAGTGTTTATGGTACTGTATTTACTCCAAGGAAGTAGGATTGAAGTTCCATCATTGTGTGTCAATGCCTATTGATGAGATGTTTCACTTTTGGAAAGTATGCGATGTTTATCCTCAACTTGAATCCTGGATAAACCAGCCACACATGAAGAAAGTAAGAAAAGGAGGTGCCTAAATGTTGAAAATATCAATCTCCAGTTGTTGCAGGAATCTAGGCCAGACAGAGATTCATAAGACCGATAAGCAGAAACCAAGAGGAGGAGAGAAAAGCAAGAGGAGAAAAGGATGAGAAAAATAGATGAAGAGAAAATAAAGCAGAGAAAATCAAGAAGATAAAAAAAGTTGAGAAAAGAAAGAAGAGAAAAGAAAGAAGAGAAAAGAAAAGAAAAGAAAAGAAAGAAGAGAAAAGAAAGAAGAGAAAAGAAAGAAGAGAAAAGAAAGAAGAGAAAAGAAAGAAGAGAAAAGAAAGAAGAGAAAAGAAAGAAGAGAAAAGAAAGAAGAGAAAAGAAAAGAAGAGAAAGAAAGAAGAGAGAAAGAAAGAAAGAAGAGAAGAGAATAGAAAGAATAGAATGCCACATGCAGTCCAAATTTCTGAGCTGAAATCCTGTCTTCAAAAAAGGCAGGGAGTTTGTGATGATTATTCCTTGCCATAAGCTGTAAGTGCTAGCTCTATGGCTCAACTATAACCTAGAATATTGGCACTATTCCCAAGGTTCAAATTCCTCATCTTGACAGATTTGACAGATAGCCATAATTTATTTTGATTCTGTCATTTATTCAGGCGGGATTAGTATTTCCTATCACAGATTGTTACTTGGGTACTTTCAAACTGGTTTTATGCTGAATCATTAATACATCAATCTTCTTGTTCTTTGGTCTGCCTATTGCAGTAATTAGAGTGAAGAAAAAAAAAGTTTTTATTTCTCCAACAAACCAATTAATGGACAACATTCTCAAGCAGTGCCTTTTTCTTTGAAACTCCAAAAACGATTCAAGCTTTCAGGGAGAGTTGTGGGGAAAGGATGGGAAAATACTAAATTGGGCCCATCCAAAGGTTGACCGCTGGGGCTTGGTCACTGAACCAATCGATGTGAAATAGTTCGAAAGTACTTTGTTTAATCCACGACTGGAGTAAGTACTGAAGCATGTCGTGTTGGCCAGTGGGCATTTGGACAAACGGCTTTTCCCGTAGCCCGCGGGTAGGATAGTAAGCTGGACTCCGTCGGAATGCCAGCCAGCTACGCATGAATTCCAATTGTTTCAGGAAAAGTGAAGGATTCCTCATCCGCTCTGAGATTGACGTCATGATCGATCGGTAATATTTGTCAGCAAAATCCAAAGTGTAAAATACCAGTTGGAATTCTATAGTTCTTTGACCTGGTGGTGATTTTATTGGAGGATGTTGAAACAGGCGGATCAGTTGTGCAATTAGATCGGCGATTCGAAAATCGGCCATTTCCGTAAGATGGTTCGCATGTGGTGCGTTGTTCAGTAGGGAGCAAAGCACTTCCGCTTCCTCGAGAAAATTTACATCTAGGAATCTTTGGCGAATCGAGGCGAAGTGTTCACTTAATAGCCCCCCATCGTGTGGGAGGTTTCCGGGCGCATGGAACATGATTTTCTTCAGGACGCTGAAGACGACAAGCTTCTGATGTTTTTCAGAGAGTGCTTTGGCACAAAAAGCATCAATCTCAGCAATCAGAATTCAACCTCCTTGGAAAGTAAGAAATTGAGAGCTTGGCCCCCAGCCAGAACGTTAAGGCTCCCGGCGAATTTCACTCAGCAGTTCGGCAAGATTGCGGTGTTTTTTTTTTTTTTTGGCAAGCAAAAGAAATGTGCCTACCTCCAATCGGTCTGTGAAAGTGATATACAGCCGGGCCGATTTCCAAAAATCCTAGCTGCGGAACTACAGAGTCATGGTGTTTAAAAAAGTTCTTCCCATGCGTGAGGAACAGGAGGTCGACGTGCATCTCGACCATGTTCACGAGAGTGTTGGGCTCAAAGATTCTTATGTTTTCGATGAACGCCGGGGGCAGTCCCATTCCATACTTGAGAATGTAGTCCCCCATAACATACAATGATTCCAAAAATTTAAGATACAGCACGGCTCTTCGCGCAGCAACACCGTCATTTTTCGAAAGTTTAAGTTGGACAAGCTTCTTTTCTAAAGAATTCCAGAGCTCCATTTGTTCCTTAATGGTCCGGTCTCTCGTGTGATATATATTCCCTGTTTTGGAAAGTAAGTTACTTGATGAGATTGGTTTTGAGTCCACAAGGTCTGTGTAAATCGAAGGGTCGGTTCTTAATTCTCCATATTGATTATGTCCTCCACTGGAAGAAGGCTCCTTTTTGCCCGCTTTTGACTTGTGAGTAGGCCGACGTGCGCTGAGTGACATCTTATCTAACCGAAGCGCTTTCATGAAACTCCCAGTGACAGTTCTCCGTTCTGTTCCTCTACTTTGGCTTTCCGCTTCGAATCTAGGCAAGTCTTCGTCAGCGAAAAATTCAGATGAGATCGTCTGCAAATAGGGGGGCCTCAAAGCATTAAAAAGCTCTTCCAGTTCATATTTAATTTCGGACAATTCCCACCAAGGACTTTCAGTGTTGAGCGAATTGATCAAATGCTTCAGGTGTTTTTGTTTTCCTTCTAACCGGCGTAACTGAGCTACGCTAGCAACCGCACTCTCAGCAGGGTGATTTTGACAAAGCCTAGGAGGGGGGTAGGTCAGATTTGAAAACTTTGATATAAAAGCCCACCTTGCGCTTGAGATGCTTCACCGGGAGTGTTCATATGCTGATTCTTGGATGCACCAGCCAACATCTCACTGCTGGATGCTGCTTGGTTGATAAAAGATAAAAATGTGACAGATGAATAACATCAACAGATTCGCATAAAAATAGAAATGCACTGAAATGGAAAAATGGATGAATAAGGAATAAGGGGAATTGTAAATACTTACTCGCATAATCCCACGCCGCATGTGCCTCTGCGTTGAAAGCGGATAAGGCAAATCGAGCCAGCCCGATTCCCAGCAGAACGGCGCAGAATAGCATCCTCTTCAGCAAGACAACCATGCTGATTAAGCCTTAAATGAGTTCTCCGTGAGGGGACGGAAGGGGTGGGTTCTTCAGGAAATATATTTTTGAAATTGGACATGGGCACAAATGGGAAAATCTTGGGCACTTGGGCTTATCAGTCAGTATGTAGCACGATTGTTGGATCTAGCGAAATAGCGGCATTTGGCCTCCCGACAAGTCAGATGAGTTCTCAGTACAACCAAGCGTAGATTCGTGAGACGAGAGTGGACATTATTCTTGAAACATAGGCCTACATACACGCCTTCACCAGCCTTCACCGCGAGCGCATCTGACAGGTTTACACTGTGTAAACGGGGGACGTCTCCATAGCTCTTCAAGTCCCTCCCGGCAGTAGATTCGATGGCTTGCCGGCGGAGGGCCCCTTCGGGACGGCGCCCTCCCTCCCATAGAGGGACTTGGTGAAGTTAGGGTCCGTGGGGTTCCCAAATTTATCAGTCTTGATCTCCACCAATACATCCAGGCCCAAGGGTTGCCTGAGCATTTTAGAGGAGATAAACCCCGTGTGTACCCAGCCCGGATTAAAACACCACTCGGTGTGGTGGCTAACTGGGACAGTTGCCCATGGTGTTTCTCCGATGGCTCGCTGGTGTCCACACATCTCCCCGAAAGCGAGTGCGTGCGTAGTACCCCGTGCTATTAAGCCTCTAATTATCCACAGGGTCCATCTTCTCAAAAAAACCACTTGAGTGTTATATTGCCCTGAGAATAGCTCTCGGCTGAGCCCGCCCTTCACGGCTTAGGCAAAAGTCCTTCCACTGGGACGGAGTATTATTCGAGCCAAGAAGAGCTTTACGATACATTCAACCGCTAAAAGTGACTCAACCGATCGGCCCACCCGCAGAGTCGACTAACCTCCGAACTTAACCCCACAAGCCCCTTTTCCCGTCTCTCCTTGTATGGCCTCGGAGTCGCCTACATACGCCGACCGAAGCCCGCAAGGGTCTCTGTGAGACAAATACCCGTGCCGGCGGCCCTTCGGGCTCTCACTCGCAAGGCCCTGTTGTCAGGCTCGACTAACCTCGCGCCTACCCCCCCCCCCCTTCTCTAGCATTCATGGCTATTGGACGTACCTCGGTGTTTGTGGTGACTACCAAGCTGACATGTGTGAATGGTTGGGCTAGTTTGCTTCATTTCAAATTCACTTTTTGTCAACTGATATCTTCCATCTTTTCCAAGAAGTTAACCATGAAGATGAAGGATTGTTAAATATTCCCAAAAGACGAAAGACGAGTGGACATGGTTACAGTGGTGCATACAATTCTGCAACCGGACCCTGGTTCACATTTTTTTTATCTAACGGCGCCATTCATGATGACATATTCCCGCCAATGGGATTTGGAGGCGAGAAAAAAGGGAGGGCATGCCTTTAGACCAACATCTTGGCGGCTGAGACCCGGCCCCCAAACCATCAATCAGGCCATGCCTTTAACCAATCCGCCAGAATTCCATCCGCATCCACGTCACCCGGCTCACTTTGTAACAACTGGTTTAAAATATCTCGGCTTTTAGAGCAGTTGTGATCCTCTGAGTTGAACAACCTCGAGCCTCAACGATCGCATTTATTTTCAGATTATGCCGAAGTATCATCCTCTCTTCCTGAACCAAGAATCGGTACCTGGAAAGGATCACGAAAAATTTTCGAATCATTTGCAACTTCAACATCGTTCGCGCGGTGGTCAGGATTATCCTCAACCTCAATCCTATAATCAAATCACGCGTGATCACCACCTTATTGATCACAGGTACAATCAAAGTAAGTAGGAAAATCACCGAGCCCACTCATTCTGGATAAACACTCCATTTGAAAATCATATTCCGCTTTGCAATCTATACACATACGGCTAACTCACGAGTCACAACTTCAAGACATTCACCCTAGCGATGGCTCTGGCCAGTCTACAGTGGTGTATGGGCTTAGGGGAAGGTATAAGTAGCATGTGTCCCAAATAATGATTTCAAAACAAGGGAAAAAAAGAATGGTTGGTCCAATTGCAAAACTGAATAAAATTTAGAATCTGCAACCTCGAAAGAGTCCAAAAAAGACACTTTTGGAACTTTTGGACTCTTATGGTGGATGAACATTCAGCCCGCGTGGTCAACTTGCATTTTTCTGGGGGGTTGTTACAGTAATATGGTGTCTGTAGTAAGGATTACATGGTTTCTTCAGAGCAGACCAATTTTTGTGAGGAAGACAAGGTCCAATTCCACACCAAATTTCCTCCAGAAGAAGAAAAAAAAGCAGGAAGGAAATGGGCAGGCAGGCGCATTTTTATTAGCGGTAAAGACTCATCAGTCCCTTATGGTTGAAGAAATACAGTTTTCTAAACAAAGTATGAATGTGCTATTTCTGGCAGGTATCACCCAAATATTTAAAGATCAGATTGCCAAAGTCTTCAACCTAAGTAGGCGTGAAACAAATCACAATGAACTTCCAATAGAGTCACTCTTTGTCAGAATAAAGCAAGAAGTTATGAGAGAATTCAACATAACCATGTTTGAACTAGATCCTCATGCTAACAAGTGTAAATCCGAAAATCTCCATCAAACAAGTGCACAGCTGTACAAGCAGTTGCGTCATTTGATTCAACGACTTATATACCACTGTCCTGAGGGATTTTGAAACACCCAAGACGACACACGCCTTCAACATTGGAAAAGATGTCTGTGCGCTGACTGAATGGTACAGATGTATGAATCAATCATACTGCCTAATACATGCATCCTCGGCCTGTAATGATCTCTGAAAATTTTTTCTGAGCCCAAAACGTGTCCAAAGGAGGTCCATGGGCTCCTCTGGACACGTTTTGTGTTTTATTTTCACAAAAAAAACAACTACAATGAAAAGCGAAATGATATGAAATCGTTTCAAAAAAAAAGGTAAAATGTTGTTTATAATTGGCGCCTGACAGTGTTTGTGTCATGAAAAATCCACAGCTCAGATCCAATTTTGGATTCTTTCTGTCTTTCTTCTATGGGATTACTTCATTCTAGTAGTAGGATTTATTAATTGAGGGTTTTTTTTTCATGTTTACATAATACTGTGATGATTGATACACTTGCTTGAGTTCCAATCAGAGGAACACGATTTTTTTTCTCTTTCTACAAAGTGATTAATGAACAAAATTGGATAAAAAACTCTTGTATGTATTCAATTTGTGAAATCAAGAAATTAAAGTAAAAGGTGACAATATCGGGTAAATTAAATGTAGTAGAGTAGCCAAGGGAAACCTAGGGTATTTTGTCCATCCAAAGGTTAAAGTCAGGTGGCCTATGGGCACCTAAACGCAAACTGGTGTGGCCAAAGATGGCAAGGGGTGAGGTGAGAATCCAGTCACGAAGATCGACATCACCCGGCGCAGTTGATCTGGCCATCTGTGAGAAAGTGTGGTCTTGTTCTTCAAATACAAAATTCATCGGATCTTGAGCTCGACCCTGGAAGAACTTTAGATAACTACGGATGAATTTGAGTTGGTTTTTGAGTAGAAAGTCGTTCTCGCCGATCCGTGATCTGATGGTCTTCATAACCGGCCGGTAATTTTTTTGAAGGAAGTCTAGTACGTAATAACCCAATAAGAACTCGATCCTCATGTGGGATGGGACTGGAATCCATGGAGGCGATTGGAAGAATCCGATCACGTTCTTAATAAGAAGGACAGTTGCCAGGTTTTTTCTCTCGGCCAGATGGTCCGTGTCTGATCCATCCTTCAAATCAGAAGAAAGTCTCTGCATTTCTTCGAGAAACTGGGGCCGGCAAAATGCTTCGCGAATCTCGCTGAATCTGTGAGTTGGGTCCTCATTGAAATATCTTTCAGTATGCGACATGATAGTGCCCAAGACAACATAGACTGCACGCTTCTGATATTCAGGAGTAAGGGCTGTAGTGGGTAAAATTGCCTGGTATCAGCAAGTATACTTCGCTAATGTATAAATTTGTCAAGCCGGTAGCACGGCAAAATTTCTTTGTCTGTATCTAATGAAAGCAGGCTCACCTTTTATGGATCTATGGAATTGTTTGACCCTCAATCCGTTTGTTAGAAATTCCAGCTGAGGTATCACCGTCTCAGATTTACCAAAAAAGGATACTCCCCATCTGAGGAACATGAGATCAATATGGAATTTGAGCATATTCAAGAGAAGATCTGGTTTGAATATTTTGATACCTTCGATGAACTTTGAGGGCAATAGCCCGTATTCATAGATGTAGTCCCCAGTAAGGAATAAGATTTTTAAGAATTCAAGCTGGAAGCCTGATTCGGTGGGACTGGGGAGTAATCCTAATAATTGAAATTCAATGAGCGATTCGGTGGGATCGGGAAGTAATTCTAGTGATTGTAGCTCAATGAGCCTTGTTTCTAAAGACTCCCAAGCCTTAACCTTTTCTTCAACGATCAGGTTTTTCATATACTCAAACTCATCCCCATCTAATATGCCTTTCCTGTCACTGTGGATCTCTAATTCTCCGAGTGGAATTCCTCTTCCAATCAGAAATTCCTTGAGACTCATGAGACTTTTCTTCGATGTACTTTCTTGATCTGGTGGGATGGGTTCGGTTTCCGGTAAGTCACGGGCGCCCGAAATATTGGTCACATGTGCTTCAGCCGGAATGCTGGCCAAGTCTGTTGGTTTTCCACTGGATGGTGAGTTTGAAATCTCGGCCTGATGAGTTGTTATGCCGCTGTCTGTTGTAACCATAGGCCTGTTTTGATGGAATGCTGCACTGCTACCTTGAGACTCCTGAGTTTCACTCTTAGGACTTTTGGAGATTGTAAGAGTGGCAGGAAGTGGGGAGTTACTTGTCGATGTTTGAGCTTCACCCGGCACCTGAAAGGGTTTTTCTGAAGATAAGCGCTCATCGTTGGTAACTTGAGGTATTGTCAGTTCAAGGGGATTACCATCCAAAATCGACGGGGTTGCAATAAATGAATGCTCTCTGGTGCTCTCTTTTTTGGACTTGCGAGAAGTTATGAATTTTTTTAGTCTCTTCACTCTCTTCAGCTGATTCTTATTGCTGATATGTGCCAGAAACTTTGATTTTCCTCCTGATCGTGTAACTCGGCCGTCGATTGCCGACAAAGGTTGAACATTGACCGGATCAAGCAAATCGGCGCTTGCTATTGCGGGTCCGACGTCGTGAGACTCTTGTTCGAGCTCAGTGCTTAACTTGGGAAGGAGGAAATCGAAAGACGGGTTGATGCCACTCAGGCGAAGTACCCTATGGAAGGTGGGTATGCTCAACAGCAGATGAAGCGCCTCTAGCTGGGTAGGAATCTCAGACGATTCTTTTCCGGGTGTTTCTTTCAGCGACTTGATCAGATCTTTGATTGCCACGCGTTCCTCTTTCATCGATTTCTTTTCCGCTATTTGACACGAAGATAGTCAGCGGGGGTTGATGCCCAGAGACAAGGAAGGCTCGAAAAGAACACTTGTGACATGAATTCAACCCACCCGTCCTTTCAGCTACCCCGTCGGGAATGATTCCATATTGCTTGGGTTGGACGAGTTTTACTTTTCTGTTTTCTTCTACTGACGCGCCGGTCACTATTGCACTGCCAGATTCGACATGAGGAACACCTGGTAACGTATCTTGGATGGGATAGAATTGGGTAAAAGTAACATTATAAGCCATTCCACTTTTCACAGACAGTCCAATAAAGCACTTAGGAAACTCTTCCGTTAAACTCACTCACAGAGCCCTGCACTGCCAGATGTGCCTCCGTGTTCAGAGCGGACAGCACAAGTTGGTCGGCACCAAATCCGTGCAAAACTACGTAGGGAAGCACAATCTTCCATATGAGGGTGAACATCTTGGTTGAGCTCAAGACAATCTACAGCTACCCGCCCGCCAACTGATGTGGGAGATAAGTATCTGGGAAATATTCTCTTGGGGGTGGATCACGGGTTTAAAGGAGTAAAGAAGGTCTTGATCAGCCAGTTTTCCATGGCATGTCTGAACGTCACCATCCACCGATGTCTATATAAATAAAATAAAATAAAATGAGGGGAAACCTATCACCCAGGAACTTGAGAAGGTTCAGATAAACCCGTCAACAAGGACAATGGGTATCATCTGTATAGGGATGGTCTTATTCCTGCGCTTTCTTGAGGCATTGAAGGACTTGATTCCTGAAACCAACAGACAAACAGATTTCTACATTTCACATCCCTTTCCCAATCCTGATCTTTCTAGGTGCCCTTCCTTGGCAAAAATCATCAACCCTAACACAGGACTCTTCAAAGGCAGCGCCGGGGCTTCTGTCTCATCGGTCGGTGTAGGCGACTCCGAGGTCAAACCCAGGTCAGAAGGCACAAGAGGCTCGGGTGAAGTTCGGAATATTGTACTCAATCGCACTCTTTATACACCACGGGCGCACTTCAAGATATGTGATTATCTTATCCCTGGCAATCGGATGATACTGCACCTTACTACACCAGTGACATGCCAGAGACTGACCAGCCGCCATATCAGTAAATCAGAGTAAGTCGCAGTCTTGGGATGATGGGCTCCAATTTATAATTGGATTTCGACGCGCCTGGGGTGAAGGTGTTTGGGGCACCCAACAGAACTTGAGGTGTTTGTGAAGTCTTTACAATACCAAGCATTTTGGAGATGACATGTACATATTGCCAATCTTCATCTTTTTTTTTTGTGGCACAGGGAGTGCGTCAAGCCGGAGATCCTGAAATACGAGGACGTCGGCCAGACGACGGTGCCGGTCTCGCTCAAGCGGATCGCAGTTTGCAGCTGCATTTTCTCAGATCAGCCTTTGGCTAGCGGATCACAGGATCCGAATATGTGTGTGTATGTATCACACACAGCCTATCGGGGATACAGTCAAGCCTGTAAATATTCCTTTAAAGAGTTGTCTCCTCCGCCATTGGGTAGCGTTTATAGTCAAATCGGGATCAAAAGGTCTGACATGTTTTATGCCTCCGTCCTGGTCCAGCAGCAGATTTCGAAAGAGTATCCTGTCCTGTGTTTTTTTTATGTTGTGTACCTACGTCCCTCAACCCACCGTTACCCGTACATAAATACCCTAATACAAATCCCCACTTCAAGAGCTCGGTGAGACAGCCGTCAATTCAAATTGCATTTAATAGTATTATTTCAGTCAGATATTCAGTCCATTCCCCAATTCGCCCCGAGCGGCTCGGCTCGGCACGAGTCCACCACTTTAGTGAAATTTATTGGTTTCCCAACCGGACGGACACGCAGGACACACACACAAATAATTAGAAGCTCTCAGACTGCCTACTTCCCCCACCCATCATTGGTCCTTTTCCAACTCGAATTCAGCAAGCTCAAGAAACAAAACTATAATCCATCCTCAAAATCAATCAACCTTATAACAATAACAATGGAATGCTCAGTATTCCAGAACCCATTTCAGTTACGCCGGTCGAGTAGCCAGTTATCAATCCTTACCGGCACTCCACATCCATCAACGGTTGTCACAACAGCAGCAGCCCGCTCAGCAACGATGCCGTCTGGTCATTATCCGCAATCTCTCGAGCAGCACATTCCATCCCCACAACCCCCCATGGACGGCAAAACATCCCCCGGAGGCCTTAAGCCCCTCTTGCTGCCGACTGCCTTCAGTCCTCAGCTCCCATCGACCCCAGAACTCGGGCCGTCCAGCCATCATCATCATCATCATCATCATCACTATCCTAGGAAATTTTCCGCACCCTCACCCTCGTGGGTCCGCCAGTCGAGCTTCTCTGCTTCTATCGCTCCTGCATCAAGCTGTTGTCCCTCCAGACAGTCCCACTATCGGCAGACAAGCGTCTCCTCCTCCAACTGGCCCTCCTCCTCCTCAAGCTCCTCCTCGGTCTCCTCAGCCTCGTCAATCAGCAGCTACCACAATCCTACATTGGACTGCCTCCAAGAATCCTCACCAACACCCCAACCCGGCCGCTCCACTCGTTCCCTCTCGGCAAACTACGCGACCCATGTCCCTCCTGGCTCCTCCGTCATCCGCACCTCCTCATTATCGCACGCGCTCACGCCGATTAATCCATCTGAGCCGACCACACGAAGAGCCATCCACTCCAAACGCAGCTCGATTTCGTACTCCAAGTTCAGCCCGCCTTCCTTTCTGCCTCACCCGTCAATCTCGCCTGCATCCACCGTCTATTCCTCTGAGCCCGTCGTCTTCTCCGCCAACCCCATCGAAACTAATACTCCCACAGAATCCGATACCCCTCAGTCGGCTTCGCCATCACTCGACCCTTCCCAGCCGGAATCCATCGACAAGCTCCTCGACGAACTCCTCGTCGAACTCGTCCAATGCGCACACTCCTTGGGCCTTCAAGACGAACTGGTCGGGATCGTGGAACTCTAGCCCTCTCTTTCCCCCCGTCCACATCTGTTTTCTTCAACTCTTATCCTATGTATACTTACACTCACACCGTGCAACAACATTCTTTCGTTTTTCGACCTTTCTTTGTCCTTATACATTCACTATTAATGTACGTTCTCTAGTCCTTTCATCCAATTCCCACCAATCACCACCATCAAAACAAAACAAAACAAAAACACCAAAAGCATATCTTTATCTTCTTATCGTCGCATCCTCTTCTCGTCTTGTGATGAGAAGCATACCTTATCCTAGCATTCTTTTTTCGCGTCTTGTGTGTTGAGCTCTTGTACCATATCGCTTCTTTGTACGTTCGTATAAGTGTGTCTTTTTTCCCCAAGTTCAAGTATCTACTACGTTCTCCGTATCGTCGGCATGCCTTTTTTTTGAAACACTCCAATCATTCGTCCTCTCGTTGCGCCTCTTACTTCCTGGCCTAATCACCTTCGCGCCTTTTCCCATTTGATAAGCTCCCCCACCCCCCGCCCTGTGTGTGTGTCTTGAGATCTAAGTTTCCTGCCCTCCATTTCTACTACCAACCTCTCTTTTTCAGTCCTTTTTTCCTGGGCAGATGTTGATTGCATCACTCTCAGACAAGCATTCCTGATCCTCCTCGTTCCTGCTGTATCTTCCAAATCAAGTATTGGTTATCATTATTGTTTTCTTCTGAATTTTGATTGGCTCCCCTAATTTCAAGTACTTTGGGTTCTTCTTCTTCTCTAGAAATTTGTTATTGCTTGTTCCCGATTTACATCACAATAGACTTTCTTCTTACATATATCCATCAGTTTCCATGCAACTCTATGGGACTTGCTAGAAGGGTAGGCAACATACATCTTCAGCACGTAAACAAGTGACCCCAAATCTACCTAATTTTGGTCCCTGCATTAGAATCCAATATCTCCAACTTGAGTTCTCTCAATTGATGTCAAACAATTTGCAGGCTGAAACTGTCTCAAGCAACTTTCTCACTTGTGTTAGGTTAAGGGCCAGTACCATAGGGCGTGAAAATCTAATTTTTTAGAATCTATCTTACTCAAATTTGTGATTAATCAAAATTGGGCATCACCAGAACCCAGTTGTTGGCATGAAAGTGAGGAATTTCAATTTTTGATCCCTCCAGTTCTTGTCCAATTCTGTGTAGAAGGCAGAAAGAATGCTCAATTTGAAAAATTGAATCCCATGGTACTGGCCCTAAATAGCTCCTTGATAATTTTGAGAGTTTGTGCATACACTTTTACTGTTCTGTGTCTTTTTTTTGACCAAAGAAGACATCTTTCTTTGCTTGTATGGACAGAAAATAATAGCCAAAGCATGTTCTGAGTCTGTCTTTCAGGATTTTAGTCATTCCCTCTCACCACAAATGCTGTAATGTCACTTACTAGCAAGTGACAGCAAGCACTCTGCCAATGAAGCTGCCCCTTTGTTGATTCAATGCATTTTTGCAAAGTGACTGTGCACAATGCACAGTCACTGTTTAGTGGAGCATGAGCTTTTGCTTACCATGAGCTTGGACAGATGTTGGGTGTGAGCCCCATGATGTCACTTGTCAGCAAGGGGCATCACTTTTTTTCATGGTGTGTGTTACTCCATTTATCCAAAGATGTGTGATAAAGAAATGTTGTCACTACACTGTGGTACATTCCAGTGAGGGCTAAGCCTAGGATATTTACAACCATGGTACCTTTTCGAGAACATCCCCACTGGTGTCAGTGTAAACTGAGGAGTAGCAGATTAGCTTTCTCCAGTGCCACTCTGGGCTGTCTACCAGATTGGTGTGGTGTAAATGGGGGAGTAGCCAGGGGTCATGTAAGGGTTGAGTGTGTAACTGGCCCTTACTCTCAGGGATAGCAAGGAGTAGCTTCACTCCTGCTTAGTTCAAATGCAACTCTAGGATTAGTGTAGTCCAATTGAGTCAGAGCCAGTGTGATTGAGGGTCTGGAGCTGTTTGGAGTAGTTATGATAATCTGTCCTTGAAACCAAGAACAATGAGTGGGCTATGATGCAGGTTACTCTGCTATTGGAAAATCTCATAGCTCCTGGTAATATCATGTTGTGTTACACACTCAGGATAGTTATAATTTTTCAATTAGGTACAAATAATGAAAAGCTCCCCTGTTTGGCATTAGAATTTGATAGGCTCTAAATTCCTTGTCCCTATTGTGCCTCCAGATTAAACATCATTGATAGAACCTCTGGTAGAAGTTTTGGGTAAAGTGTGATTTTTAAATTTTTCCTAGTCTGTTCAGTTTTGGTTGAAAAAGTAAAGAGGTGTCAGAGCAAATCCCAAAATTTCACAGAAAGGCTCCCAAAAAGTATAAAATTTGGTTAATTACCAGGCAGGAGCCCTCCACAGAAGGTACAGCATGTAGCCAATTTTAAGGCAAGAATCCTCCTCAAAAAGTAGATATATATTAGGTCAAAATACGGTGACACATCTTCAAGCTTTCTGTGCATATTTTTTTGTGCATTTCTTATTTTTTATTCTTGTCTCATCTTTTGATTATCAGAAATGAACTGTTGAGAAGATGATGGAACAGTCTCAAACTGTCCTAGTTGTTCCAATTCAAGAAACTAATATTTTTGGTTCTTTCCTCCTTCTTCACAAGTCTAAAACATTCCAATGAGACAAGCCCCCTGTTCACATCCATCCTTTCTTCTCTGTGTAACAATTATAAAATGATGATTTGATCAAATTTTGAAACTTATAAGTTGCATCCACCATCCAAAGAGAATTATCCAGTGCTGGAATACTCATTAGCCAGTGAGCACAACAATTTACCTAGGGAGGGTCCCTTGTGTTGATCTGACTCCCAGGTCTACATGCAGGTTTGTAATATTACTTCCGATCTTTTCAATTTTGGAACATTTTGGAATTGGCCACTCCCCCCCTCCCCCCTACACACACACATTCAAAACTGAGATGAATAAATTGAGTCCTCTGGAATATGTACATTCAACACATTTTTGGCAATTGAGTTGAACAATTTGACCAACTGCAATGCACTGTAGGCTGAACACCTTGCATTGCATGATGACTACCACCTGGGCAGGCATTGTGATCAGGGCTGAGGTTGAAGCAAATTTGATTCAAGAAATTAAAGTTTGATGAAATTTCAAAAGCAATGGCTTGTCAAAGCATAAGAAAGAAAACCTTAAGGTTGGGTGATGGATGCTGTCAAGATGGTAAGTAGATCCACTGATGATGAAATTGACTTGTCGCCTGTGTTGGTAACCAAAGTGTGAAGTGTTGAAAGACGGCGTACGGCGAGCGTGTGCAAAGGGAATGAATGCGATTCATGTAAAGTATTAAAGAGGAGAAAAGTCTGGTGGTAGACACGTCATGAGGCTTGTTGATATATTACAATAGATCCCTCTGGTGAGATGTTGGATTGAGCCCGGACGGAGATATTTAACAATGAATGAAAGACTGGGGTCACAGGTTGGTGGGCTGAGGGACACCATCTTGGTAGCAGTAGCGCGCAAAGCAATTTTCGCAGGCGACCGATCGGGAAACGTTCAAACGGTTTCTTGAGCGATCAATCAATGCACAAGATAAGCAGGTTGGCCACTCTTCATCTACTATCTTCCTCGGGCCGAAAAGAGGGTGTGTTGTTGAGTTTGCTACCGAGCCCATGAACAGATTCTTCTCTTCGTTGGAGTACTACAAGAAATTCAAATTCACAAAAGACTTTACATATCAGCGTTTTTCTGACCAGATTAAAAGATCCGAACTAAGTGCTTGAGATGTGGAAGTTTCGCTCAACTTGAAGTTTAAAAGTCGATGAGTTAGTTGGCGAAGAGGACAGTCGGCTGTTGGGCAAATAGATGATCAGAGGATAACCGCCATTGCCTCGAGTGCTTGACGCGTTACAGCCAAAAAAAGTAGGTCGCGTGTCGAAACCTATAGGGGCAGGTAGCTTTCAATTAAAGATTGCCTTCTTCATGGCCACGTACAAAAGTCTTCGGCAAAAACAGACCTTCATTAATCCAGGTTTGAGGTTCTAATGGGACCGGAGGAAAGCTGGCGGTACCCTCGGGTAGCACTTTGTGAATTCGAAGCCAGGAGTTTATCATGGCCATGCCATTGGGATAGCTGGGTTTTTGTGAACAATCAAACAAGAGCAGACTTATCAATAATACACCAAAACCAATTTTTCAATGAGTCGATCGCATTTTTGACGTACTTTGAAGCGGTGTCAGCCGACGCGTCTAGGGCCATGATAACATCAACCTTTCTTGCCGGAGCTAACAATGGATTGAAAGGTATGTTCTCCCCATTCTCGCCTGGAAGAAGCATTTTCAAAGTCATTTTGGAACCATTCATGGTGACATCACAAGCTCAACGCCGATTTCCACTTACCGCCGTCTACAATCAGCAACTCATCCGAGTTTGATCGGTCAAACCCCATCGTACCATTTAATCCTTTGAAGGGGTTGGGATAATGAGCCAGAAGGGGCTGGCTATCTATGATATTACTACTAAACAAGTTTAACACCGCAGCGTATTTCGAGGGGAAATCTGCCACGGCGCCATTGATTAAAGTGTTACAGATCTGATATACAAAATGACAGGTCCGAAGTGAGCATTAACTTGATGCCCAAGAACATATTTATGTTAGCACGAGAGAATACTCAACTGCTGCTGAGCTTCCCATGATGAAACTCATTTGGTCAAAACCGCGAACGCAGTTTTTAGCTGCACCAGAGAAGAGGGATGAAAAGTAGCCTCCCAAGGATGGAACCTGTTTTCCTGACTCAAGAGTGGTGCCTAAATATTCTGTAGGAATAAATGCGCCCAATTGGGGGTCGAAGCTTCCAAATTCGAAAGGAGAAGACTCATATATCGGAGCTGAAAGGGGGATGTATGTGGTTCCTTGGATGGGAAGTTTGTTCGGGTTGACGTCGGTGTTGTTTAGAGGCATGTGGTTACTGACAATAATCGGAAGCGGTTTCTGAAACTCTCGAAGCGACGATGAACTGCTCAAACTTGAAAAAAGGAGCCCGACCCCACGCGGCGTCATGATAGCCGCCGGGTCTACAAGGCCTGGTGAATGGATGTATCATGAATCAATGTGAGCGCCCTTTCCACCCTTTATTCTATATTTATCCCCCCCTCAGCAAAGAAATGGACATACCGCCGGTGGACACTACGTCAGGCAAGAAATGCTGCCCAAGGGCTATGCCCCAAAAATCAACCATGGATGTCTTGAAGCCGGCAAGTTTCTTTTGAAGAACAACAAACAATATGTGATCAAAAAACCGAAAATTGCTGAAAAAAGCTCCTTGAGGTAGGACAATATCGATTTCCGTTTCTAACCAGGAAAGTAAATTGAGTGCTGAGGGGTAGTTGTGCGCGGTCATTGAAGCGACCAGCCAGCTTCCACCACTGAGACCAGTTGCATAAGATGCTAATTGATAAACTCCACGGATGGGGCTAGTGGTTGTCCCTGAATCCCTGATGGAATTGGGCACAAAGCAAAGGTTCAGAAGTAATCTCGAGCGGGTTGATCTAAGTTAGAGTCCACCCACAGTGCATTCAATACGCCAGCCCCATACAATGTCGCTCGTTGACCGCCGCCAGAATGAGCCATCCCGAAAACGGGCCAATCGTTGTGATTTGGAGCCATCAGGGTAGTATTTTGATAACCAGTGGCTTTGCCAGGTCCGCTGGTGAAAAACGCTCGCCAAAGTGGGCTTGTGACCGATGCACGCCCATTGCGGAAAGCTTGCTCTTCTTGCGATAATGTTTGATTGTTGTTGGCCGCCGATCCTGACATCCTCAGTAGTTGCTTTTCCGTCGGACATTGAACTCGATAAGGTGCGTAGGTGGGAGCCACCGGAGTTGACGCTTGTGAGTACACCAGCATGTTAAGATTTACCAAACATATCAAAATAAAACCGAGCATTGATGAAAACAGAGTTGGCCTAGGTTTGGCGGTGAATGGCATTGTGCGTTAAATAGATATGGATAAAAAAGCCTAATTGACATAGGCAAATTGGCCTTGGAAGTTCTAAAGAGCGTGAAGTTATACAGCCAGTAGGATTTTCGAAAAACACTCAATCTTACCAAAAAGACATGCCCATGAATTGAATGGGAAATGCACCTTCGAAGTTGATGAGGCTATGTATCGCTCCGCAATCATTTCAGGCCATGCTCAAGATTCTGCATATTCTGCAGTGGTGGGGAAAGTTGATCCTAGTTCGGCGAAAATTTCATCAAGAAGTGATGAATCTGCGAGTCTCTTGGTGGCCTGTGGGTTGGCTCACCACGCTTTCGGAAAAAAGCGCTTGTTTTCCGGGGCATGGGGTCTGTGAATAGCACCTTGGTATGTTTCTCTCAAGGGACCGGTCAACAGAAACTTAAGATGCTTGACTTGCATTCGCTTTCAAGATGAAAGGCTGCGATATGTAATCACACAAGTTATATTGTGGCAGCGTAGAAAACTGCTGGCAGGAGACTCGAGTCCATTACCGAGAATCAGAGTCTATTTTTGACTGGCGCGCTATTTTCCAAGCTCGCTCTGATTTCCTACAAAGTGATATCAGGAGACCGGTGCGATGAGGAACGCGAATCAGATACCCTCAACGGAAGTTATTTTACACATTGAGCTATTTTTGCACATGGGGCACATTACGCACCAACACTTCCACTCGTGGAAGAGCACACCACACTAAATAATTCCGTTTCGAATTGGTATGTATGTATGTAGCATGGAATGCTTCAGCTGAGAAGGGTCGTCAGATACAGACTAAATCCAACCCAAGCTACTTCTCAAGTTGTCAGCAAGACTTGAAAAACGAAGTGACCACTGCAGTTTTGATGAATCATCTCTTTGTAATATCAAAAACGAAGCAGCAGTGGAAATAAATATGAAAATAGAATGTAGACTGAACTCTGGACCAGAGAATTACTGATTTTGTGCCAGCAGGACCCTTAACAAGACTTCCCGATCATGAGGGGTCACTGAGCTGAGTGTAACTAGATACGTCAATGCTCATACTGTACAAAATTTGAGTGTGAATCAAGATTGCTGATGGTCCTAGGGGGAAGAACTTAAGAAGAGCTCTATGCTCAGGGATTTGCTCTAGGAAAATCCGGTCCGGCAAATAGGATCTCAGAGCCAGTCGTGTTTGTATTGGAAATGAGAGAATGGAAGAAAACAATGGCTAGAGGGCCCGACTGGCCTGTGGAGCAGAAAATGGAGAAATGGAAGCAATGGAGATTACCCCCACTTGGGCATTTATCAGATTTCTAACAGTGACATCAACATTCAGCGGCATAACCGATGGTTTATAGACCCACAGGAATCAGATTGAAACGCTTGCGGATAAAAGTCGGTAATGAAAGAGTGGTGTTTTGGAAAGCCGCACACGGCGTGTGTGGATCAACTTATATATACATTCGATTCATAGGAATAAAAAAAATCGTCAATGGTAAATAAACTATGACGCTCGTTAATGAGTTGCGATATATTGCAGTGAATTCATCTGCGCGGAAGTTGGATTGAGCCTGGGCGAAGATATGAAAGACCGGAGTCATTGGCTGGTGGGTTGAAGAACACCATCTTGATAGCAGTACCGCGCAAAGCATTTTTTGCAAGCGGCCGATCGAGTGACATTCAGACGGTTTCGTGAACGATCAATGAGTGCACAGGACAAGCAGGTTGGCCATTCGTTATCCACTGTCTTCTTCGGTCCAAAAAGAGGGTATGCTGTTGAATTCGTTACCGAGTGCACAAATGCGTCCCTCTCCTTGGTAGAGTACTAGATCATAGATGAGAATATCAGGGTTAAGAACATTATAAACATATCAACGTCTTTGTTGAGATAGCGAGCTTCAAACTGAGTTCTTCAACTGTGGGGGTTTCACTCAACTTGCAGTTGGAAAGTCGATGAGTTAGTTGGGGAAGAGGAAAGTGGACTGTTGGGTAGATAAACGATCAAAGGATAACCGCCATTCCCTTGGGTGCTTGACGCGTTACAGCCAAAAAAAGTGGGTCGGGTGGTGAATCCTGTTGAGGCAAAGTGAATTTTCACTACATATTGCCTCCTTCAAGGCCACACGCAGGAATTTTAGGCAAACACAAACCTTTGTTAATCCACGTTTGGGGCTGCAATGGGACGGGAGGAAAACTGGCGGCGTTCGAAGGAAAAACTCTGTGGGTTCGGAGCCAGGTGTTAATCATGGATGCTCCATTGGGATAACTGTTTTTTATGAAGTAATCAAACAGCAAGTTGGTCAGTAATTTACCAAAACCAACTGCTTAATTACTTGATCAGCCTATTGATGCACTTTGAAGCGGTGTCAGCCGACGCGTCTAGGGCCATGATAACATCAACGTTTCTTGCCGGAGCTAACAATGGATTGAGAGGTATGTTCTCCCCATTCTCGCCTGGAAAAGACATGTTCAGAATAATTTTTAGAGCATTCTTGACAAGTCATAGCACGCGTTTGTGATAATCCTTCACTTACCGCCGTCTACAATTAGCAACTCATCAGAGTTTGCTCGGTCAAATCCCATCGGACCATTCACACCCTTAAAGGGGTTAGGATAATGGGCCAACAACGGTTCAGGATCTCCAATGCTATTGGTCAAGTAGTTTATCACCGCAGCATAACGTGCAGGGAAATCTGATGCACCGCCGCTGAGCAAAGTGTTACAGACCTGCGCCACAAAAGAGTCAAGAAATGACAGGCGTGAAGTGAGCACAGGCGTGAAGTGAGAATCAACGCAATCTCCAAGAAAGTACGCCGACGTAAGACAACACTCAACTGCCGCTGAGCTTCCCATAATAAAGCTCATTTGATCAAAACCGCGGACGCACTTGTTTCCTGAGGCTGCACCAGACAGGAAGGATAAGAAGTCGCCCCCTGAAGAGTCAATTGGGTTTCCTGATTCAAGAGAAGTTCCCAGGTATTCAGTAGGGATAAACGCGCTTAATTGGGGGTCGAAGCTTCCAAATTCGAATGGAGAATATTCATATATGGGAGCCGAAAGGGGGATGTATGTAGTTCCCTGAATCGGAAGTTTGTTTGGGTTAACCGTGTCGTTGGTATTGTTCGGTGGCATGTGATTACTGATAATTATTGGCAGCGGTTTCTGAAACTCCCGAAGGGCTGATGTGCTGCGCAAGCCAGACAAAAGCATCCCGGCACCACGCGGAGTGCTAAAGGAGGTCGAGTAAAAGTCTAAATGCAAGATAGATTGACGTTACTCTCTCCAAGACTAAATGATTTCAAGATTGATTTTCTGGCCAAGAGGTAGACATACCATCAGTTGACACCGCAGGCAAGAAGTGCTGCCCAAGGGCTATACCCCAAAAGTCTATCAACGAAGTCTTGAAGCCAGCAATTTTCTTCTGGAGAACAATAATCGATATATTTTGGAAGAATTGCCAGCTGTTTTGAAAAGACCCTCCGGGTAGAATAATATCAATTTCTATTTTCAGCCTGGAGAGCAAACTGGATACTGTGGGGTAGTTGTGTGCAGTCATTGAGGCGATTAACCAGCTTCCCCCACTGAGGCCTGTGGAATACGATGCTAATTGATACACTCCTCGGATTGGACTTGAAATGGTCCCTGAATCACTGGTGCAATGTGGCATGGAGCGAAAGCTTGAGTAAAGTTGAGTAATTTGTGGGTTGGTGGTCGAAGTCTGCTTACAGTGCATTCAATACTCCAGCTCCGTACAAAGTCGCCCGCTCACCGCCACCGGAATGTGCGATCCCGAGTACAGGCCAATTCATTTGGTTTTGGGCCATCAGTGCCGTGTTTTGATAACCAGTGTTTTTGCCAGGTCCGTTGGTGAAAAACTCTCGCCAAAGTGGGCTTGTGACCGATCCACGCCCATTGCGAAAAGATTGCTCTTCTTGTGATAACGTTTGACTGTTAGTCGTCGCAGAGCCTGACATCCTCAATAGCTGCTTCTCGGTTGGACATTGAACTCGATAAGGGGCGTAAGAAGTGGCGTGTGTCGCCGGAGTCGTTACTTGTGAATGCACCAGGATCTTACGATTCATCAAACATATCAACAGAAATCCGAGGACTGATGAGAACAAAGTTGGCCTGGCTTTGGCGGCGTAAAACATTGTAAGATGGGTCAATATAAAAAAATCCTGAGTGATAGAGTCAAGTTGGTTATTGTCGACTTTGGAGGTGCTAAAGAGCGTAAGGTTGTACAGCCAGTGGGATTTTCGAAAAACGCTCGATCTTGTTAAAAGGATACACCTTTAAATCAAAAGAGAAGTGGGATTTCGAAGATTCTGAGGCTGTAGCTCCTCAATCCTTTCATATCATCCTTAAGGGCCGCTTCATAGTCCACGTTAATTTTTGCCGTGGTGGGGAAATTCGACCCTATTTTGGCGAAGTTTTAATCAAGAAGTGATAAATCTGTCATGAGTCTCTTGGAAGTTGGTGGGTTGGCTCAATACGCTTTCGGAAAAACGAGCTTATTTTTTGAGGGCATGGGGACCGTGAGTGGCGCCTTCATGCGTTTCCCTCAAGAGACCCGTGAATAGCCAATTAAGCTGCTTGCAGACTTGCATCTACTTTGAAGCTAAACACTTCCATCAAGTGATCGGACCTTTGTTGTATGTACCCAAGTTTTACTGTGGCAAGGTAGGAAACTGCTGGCACTGGCAAAGTCCAAGCACTACGGATCCGAGTCCATCTTTTGAGTGCCGCGCTCCTCTTCCCTTGAGCTCACCCCGAGTTCCTCCAAAGTGATACGAGACCGGTGCGATGAGAAACGCAAAATAGATAACCTCAACGGAAGTCATTTAACACACACCCAAATCGTTAAGATAAATGTGGTATGAAGGACCCTGAAGGACCTCTCAGAGGAGCATGAGAGAGGCCTTTCAAGGGTGGATTGCACTTATTTTGGAACTTCGCCAACTTCGACAATACCTCTTCCCAGAACCCAACGACTGAACGACTTTGAACGACGCTTTTGAAAAAACAGTTCCCTAACCCGCTATCCCTTACCCTACCTCAAACCCCTATCCCTATCCCCTAACCTTAACCCATTCCCTAATCCCTAACCCTATCCCTAGTGTGTGGTGATTGCGATGTGAGATGTGATGTGTCGATGTGAGGTGTGTTGTTTCGATGTTTCCCAACTGGTACATGTCCCCTTTTCAGGTGTTAACACACTGGCGCCAATTAGCAAATGGGGCACATTGCGCACAAAAGTCCACTCATGGAAGAGCACACCACACTCAACCTCAGTAAACAATTCTGTTTAGAATTGATATGTATGTATGTAGCATGGAAATCTTTAGCTAATACCAATCCGTCAGATACAGAGCAAATCCAACCCAATCTACTTAGCAATTTGTCAAAAAGACTTGAATTGAAAAAACCGGTTGTTTTTAGTCAGTTTTTGTGCGGCTTATCGTCTACCCGACCCACCAATTCAGCTTTGCTGGGTTATCTCCTCGTATGGGATGACAACAACATTTATTGAGGCTTCAAAAAACTACGCAGCAATGGAGATGGTAGTTACAATGAAGCATATATAGGGACTGGACTTTGGCCTTTTTTTGATTTCATTTCGATAGGACCTTGAATGAGCTTTCTCGATCATTTGGGCTTACTGAGGTTGGTACAACTATATAAGAACGTGCATACTATACAAAAATTTGGTCGTGAAGAAGGTTGCTGATGGTCCCACCGGGAAGTGGAGCTCTACGCTCAGGGACTGGAACAACTGACCAGAAGTCTCTAGGAAGGGGAGGTTCGATAACTATGGGCGCAGAACCAGATGTATCTGCATTCGGGAGACAAGCCCCACTTGGACATGGGCTAGAATTCTGACAGTCACCTGAATATTGCGTGGCAGAGGCTTGAATGATGGTTTATGAATCTAAACGGATAAAATTGAAACGCTTCCTGCATTGCGAGCCAATATCGGTAATAAAAGAGCGGTAGGTTGGAAAAGCGCGCACCCCGTGTGTGGATCTACTAAATACATGCAATTTAGGGTAGTCAAATAAGGAAATCCTTCATTGGTGGATAAACCATGAGGCTTGTTGGTGAGCTGCGACATATCACAGTGTAAGTTTAAGGTCGGACATTGGATTGAGGACGAAGATATATAAAAAGGAATGAAAGACTTGGGTCAATGGCTAGTGGGCTGAAGGACGCCATCCTGATAGCAGTACCGCGCGAAGCACTTTTCGCAGGCGGCCGATCGAGTAACATTCAGACGGTTTCTTGCACGATCAATCAATGCACAAGACAAGCAGGTTGGCCATTCTTGATCGATTGTCTTGTTCGGTCCAGATAGAGGGAATGTTGTTGCGTTCTTCACCGAGCTGATGAAGAGGCCCATCTCTTGGTCGGAGTACTACATGAACATGTCCACATCACAAAACATTGCGATTATCTCAGCATTGTTTTGACAAACTGAGTTGCTCAGATAGTCAGGTTCGACTCAACTTGGAATTGATAACTTGAAGTGTTAGTCAGCGAAGGGGACAGTGGACTGTTGGGTAGATAAACGACCAAAGGATAACCGCCATTCCCTTGGGTGGTTGGCGCGTTACAGCCAAAAAAAGTAGGTCGCGTGCCGAATCCTGTCAAGGCGAAGTGGATTTTGATTACAGATTGCCCTCTTCAAGGCCACAAAGAATAATCTCAAGCTAATGCATACCTTGGTTAGCCCAGGTTTGGGGTTCTATTGGGACGGGAGGAAAGTTGGCGGTGTTCGAAGGTAACACTTTGTGGACTCGAAGCCAGGTGTTGATCATGGACGCTCCGTTGGGATAACTGGTTTGGATGGAGCGAATGAACAAGAGAAATTGAGTTTGTCAGTGATTTACCAAAGCCAATCGCACTGTCACTTGATAGGTTTGTTGATGTATGTACTGTGAATCGGTGTCAGCCGACGCGTCGAGGGCCATGATAACATCGACATTTCTTGCTGGAGCTAACAATGGATTGAAAGGTATGTTCTCTCCATTCTCGCCTGGCCAAAAAAAATCCAGTCATTTTCAAACCGTTCGTGGTGGGATGTAATACACGCGCGGGCTATCTTTCGCTTACCACCGTCTACAATTAGCAACTCATCAGAGTTTGATCGATCAAATTCCGTCGTACCTTTCACACCTTTGAAGGGGTTGGGATAGTGGGCCATGAGTGGCTCACTATCTCCAATGTTATTGGCAAAGTAGTTCATCACTGCAGCATACTTTGAAGGGAAATCTGTTGTTCCGCTTCCAAATACAGTATTGAAGCCCTATGGTTGTCGCAAGATAGACGAGTGGGATCATATATGGAATGACAGGTCCGAAATAAGCATCAACTCAATACCCAAGAAAAAAAAATGCTGACAAAAGGCAAAACTCAACTGCTGCTGTACTTCCCATAATAAAACTCATTTGATCAAAACCGCGAACGCAATCATTTCCTGCATCAGAAAGGAAAGATAAAAATCCACCCCCTGAGGAGTTGTTCGGTTTTCCTGATTGAAGAGAAGTTCCTAAGTATTCGGTAGGGATAAACGCGCTTAATTGGGGGTCAAAGCTTCCAAATTCAAATGGAGAATATTCATAAGTTGGAGCTGAAAGAGGGATGTATGTGGTTCCTTGAATGGGAAGTTTATCTGGGTTGACATTGAGATTGTACAGTGGCATGTGGCCACTGACAAGAATCGGAAGCGGTTTCTGAAACTCTCGAAGGGATGTTGTGTTGCGCAAGCTAGATAAAAGCATTCCGGCACCACGCGGCGTACTAGAATAGGTCCAGTAGAAGTCTAACATACAAGATGAACTGATGTGAGTGCACTTTCCAAGTCTGAAATTTTATCTTTTATATAAGCAATAGAAGTAGACATACCGTCGGACGTCACTACAGGCAAGAAGTGTTGTCCAAGGGCTATACCCCAGAAATCTACCATCGAAGTCTTGAAGCCGGCAATTTTCTTCTGAAGGACAACAAACAAGATATTTTGGAAGAATTGCCAACTGTTATAGAAAGCACCTCCGGGTAGAATGACATCAATTGCCATTTGTACCCTGGGGAGCAAACTGGGCATTGTGGGGTGGTCATGTGCAGTCATTGAAGCGATTAACCAGCTTCCACCGCTGAGACCTGTGGAATAAGAAGCTAATTGATACACTCCGCGGATAGGGCTTGAGGTGGTCCCAGAATCACTGATGGAATGTGGCATGGAGCGAGGGCTTCAGTAATCTTGAGTGATTTCTTGGTTGTCGGAAGTCAACCAAGTCGAAGTCTACTCACAGTGCATTCAATACTCCAGCTCCATACAACATCGACCGTTCACCGCCACCAGAATGAGCGATCCCAAGTACAGGCCAATTCGTTTGGTTTTGGGCCATCAGTGCCGTGTTTTGATAACCGGTGGCTTTGCCAGGGCCATTGGTGAGATAGTCTCGCCACAGTGGGCTCGTGACCGACCTACGCCCCTTCTGAAAAGCTTGCTCTTCTGGTGATAATCTTTGATTATTGTTGGCTGCCGAGCCTGACATCCTCAAAAGTTTCTTATCGGTTGGACATTGTACTCGATAAGGTGCGTAACTGGGTGCCGCCGGAGTCGCCGCTTGTGAGTACACCAATATGTTGTGACTTGCCAAAGATAATAACACAAAGGCGATTACTGATGAGCGCAAAGGTGAGCTTGCTTTGGTGGTGTTGAACATCGTAAGTTAATCAGAAAATCTAATCGATAAATATGAATTGGCACTATCAGGCGTTATTCAAAGAGCGTGAAGTTGTGCAGTTATAAGTGAGTTTTGCGGAAAACAATCAACCTTGCCACAAAGATAGTGGGTCTTCCAAGATGCTGAAGGTATAGCTCGACAACCCCTTTAGGTTGATCGCTCAATCGTCTACGTCTCACAAATTTGCAGTGTTGAGGAAAATTGTCCTTAGCCCATGGATGTCTTGCTCCCAAAATGACAAATATGTGAATCTCTAGGGGCCTGTGGGTGAGGGTCCACTCCGCCCTCGGAAAAACATGATTGCGTTTTGGGGCATGGGTGCTCTTAACGGCACATTGGCTTGCTGTTTCCTCTCAAGGCGGACTCGCCAACAATCACTCAACCCGAATGAAATGCATTGGGAATACTCCTACACAAAAACTGTGACATGAGCTAGGTAGCCCTAAGTATTGATGACGTTTCTCAGTCAATCCTTGTCATGTACTACTAGGAAGGACAAACATTATTAGGCTCCGTTTGGCCGTCCATTATATCAGAAGAAGAAATATGTAAATCCGGATAATCAGAATAAGGTTGATAAACCTTAAACCAACTATCACAAAGCTAGACAATCCTCTGCTTATTGTAGTGGATTTTTGGTGTTATAGCGTGACCAGCCAAACACAATCTTCACTTATGATGATGGAGGACTTCCCGTGGGTTTTACAGGCCTTGTAAAGCTAGATTTACAGGCTGTAGAGCTAATTTTTTGCTGAGAGAATGGTTTTACAGCCTGTAAAAATAGCTTTACAGGGGGCTGTAAAATCAACGGGAAGTCCTCCAATAAATGTGGTCCCCCAAAAAGATTTGCTGGATCTTTCTATGATATTTTAGGATATCATGGACTGCCAAACGGTGTCAGACGGGGTGATGCCAAGATCTAGGATCTTCTAGCTACACTCGTCGATGGGAGTGGGTTGGTAGATGGGTCTAAGGGGTGGATAGATGTAAGGAAGAGGAGGGGCCCAAGTTTTGGGTGTATTTACAATGCCCTCAAAATGTAAGCCTATGTCCGTTGCTGATATTGAGCTGGACGGGTAGATGGCTTAGACACAGGTCCTAGTGGAGCCTAGGGGTGGTAGTCTGCGCAGTAGTAGGAGTTGGAGACGGAGGTGGATAGCTCGGAGGAAGAGACTTATTATAGGTGAGCAGTCCATCCTCGGTAGCGGGTAGCGTCTCTGGTTCCCAGTACTTTAGTACTAATCCCGACGATAACTCTGGCTTGGTTCAGCAATGTGACAATGGTTGGTTCGGAGGTAATAGGCAGGTGAGTTCTGTGAGGGAAGTAAGTGGTATCAACAGTGGGCCGCTACGCTACACTACGCTATTTGACCACTAACTGTTAGTGTAGTGGCCTTTTTCTGACACTAAACCCCACTACGCTAACTGTTAGTGTAGTGTAAATTTTTCTCTCAAATTTTTCGGTAGTGTTAGCTTCAAATAATCTCAGCTAAACTAACAGTTAGTGTAAATTTTTTTGCGCTAACAAAATTTTGACTGTCAGATAGTGTAACTGATTTGAAGCTAACATTTAGTGTAACTTATACCAAGTTAAGCTAAGCTACACTACACTACATGCCTAGTTCCGCTACGCTACAGTAGAAGTTACACTACACATGTAGTGTAGTGTAAATCATCAATTAGAGAAACTGACATGTCAAGTGAGAATTTATGCTCTTGAACCCTCTTCCTCTGCTTTCTGTTTTCAATGGACAAGTTGTGTGAACTGTCCATATAACTGATACGGCTGAGGTCTATAGTGACAATCTTCAATGTCCTATGATCACACACAATCCCGCAGAAAATGAACAGCACAAGATGCAGAGACAAACAAACGGAGGATGTGCCTGGTGAGATTTGAACTCACAACCTCAGCAATGCTGAGTCACATACCAGAGTGCTTCCTTTAACAACTAGCCTACAGACCCTTGTGGTTGCATTAAGGTTATTTGGGTGGTAGTTGCCATGGTGCATGCCAACAGCTCCACCACACTCTGGTGATACATCATGGTTACACCTCAACCCCCCCCCCCCCTTGCTACATGATGTGAAAGTGGAAATTGAAGAAGTGTGGGAATGGAACCCAGTAAAGTATGATCTGAGGGGGAATTGAACCCATAATCTCAAGGTAGTCTGACAGGGGAATGTGGTCTTACAAGTAAGTGTTAAAAATTGGCAGGGGGCTAAAATTGAGTGGCCCCCATTACCAACTGAATAAAAATGATGATCAATTGAGGGGATCTGGATGTAGGCCCCCAAATCAGGCACTGTCTTCAGGGTATACTAATGCTAGTCATGTGGTCATGTAACTTTTAATCAGTTACACTAACAGTTAGTGTAACGTTTTCACCAGTTACACTAACAGTTAGTGTAACTGAGGGTACCACTACACTAACTGTTAGTGTAGTGGTACCCTCAGTTACACTAACATGTAGTGTAGTGGGTTCACCCACTAACACCACTAAAATTTCACTAACAGGATTTTGGGTAGTGTTAGTTGTGCCTTTTTAAAGGTAGCTAACACTACGCTAAAGTTTTTTTTTTGTTTTTTTCAAAAATCCTGTAGTGTTAGTGGGCCAAAAATTCCCGCTAACGGTAACTTTTGTGTAGCTTAGCTTAAAAAGCTAGCACTACGCTGCACTAACACTACGGTTAGTGTAACTGGCCCACCGTTGATGGTATGTCAGTTATAGTTGGTGGGTTTGGAAGATGATGATAGCGGAAAAAGGTGAAAAAGGTTTGTTCTGCTTTCTTGTCCTCACCGGTCCTCCTTTGGTCTTTTATACCCATTGGATCCGTCGTCGATGGTGTGGCGGCGAGAGCGCGCCTTGGCCAAAGCTTTGGCCGGTTAGTTTGGGGGCATGCGGAATGCTCGCGGCTGATGCGGAAAGCATGCGGAGCTGACGCTATGCACGCAAGCTGAGGAAAGCGGCGGTGCATTAGAGGAATTCTAGCTTTCCAAGGCGCGGGAAAGCGGGGAAAAGTAGACCGAATGCACAAGGTTCTGAAAAGCTTGCTGCAAGGGAATCCGGGCACCAGCGGACACCGGGGTTCACGGCCGACTGCGGAATGGGGTTTCAGTGTATACTGCGGAGGGGCTACAAGGAGCGGGGAGCACCGAGGGGCGGAAGCGGGGTTCGGAGCGGACCAGAGGCGGAAGCGGCGGTGGGAGACCTGATTATGAGCGGCCGGAGGAGTACCTGGACCGACAGGCGTCGGAGGGGTGACATGCGGAGTCCGAGGGGGTGGCAGCGGATGGCATCGTGGGAAGCAGGAAGGAACTGGAGTGTGGGATACTTGGGGAGAGTGGAGTTTGGAGCAGATAAGGGGAAAAAGGAAGGGGGACTTATGACGGAGAACATATCAGAAAAACAGAGGACTTAGGAGTGAATCGTGTATTAGCCTAAAGAATTGTTAGAGATAGACTAGAGCTAGAGTGTTACCTACAAAAGATCAATTAAGAGAGTTATTTTACCTACCTACAAGACCTTCAAGCAAGTTACCCCGGACAACAAATCGGAGTAGGACGTGTTGCGGAGCGGAGAAGTACAAGAAATCTCCTAGAGCGCACCCTTCTTTCCACAATGGCGTATGGGAGCCTGGGTTTATTTCAGAATCCGGAAAAGCTGTTTCTATAGTCATGAGGTCATGACTAGCACTGTCAACCTCCGAATTTCCTTTTCTAAGTGTGACATCTGAGAAACAGGATGTCACACTTCTGAGAAAAGCGCTGGAGATGACGCAGCGCATCTAGTACAGTATTAAGCTGCTGTGGAGTCTCTAGCGCTTGCTCAAAATATCTCTTTTTGACCGTTGACTTATTACTTTATTACTCCTCATTAGTTTTTAAAGCAATTAAGGTTAATTTTAATTATTTCAACAATATTTAATTATTTCACAAATAAAACTGAATTTCTAAGATAAAACTAAATTCAGGTCAGATTGTCCTACTTTACTAGTGACAAGCTGACAAACAGAGCCTTACTTGATTTTCAGTCAGGCACAAGTGCAAAATGAATAACCTTGACAAAAAAAAGAGACACTAATCTGTTTGGGGTCCAACAGTCCCCCTGGGGGCCAAGATGGCCTGATGGGGGAAGACCATTGTTACCCGGTAGCCTTGCAGGCTGATCTTAGCATGCAGGTTCCAGGTTTGAATCCTGGCGGCCCGGCCCCTTCCCCACCCCCTTGGATGTTACACTTGTCTGTCAACAGATCTGGTATGTTGTAAATTTATAAACCTTGTCTGTAACTGCCAAGGTTCTCATACACAGTTGTAAATACAGCCTCATTACGGGCTTACACCACACAAGTATTACTATAGTGTGCAGTGTCAAATCAATCAGCACTTAAAAAAAACAGTCCCCCTGTACCAATTAACACTTGAAAAAAAGTCACTCTCTCTGGCGCGCAACAGGCCACCTGAGAGGGGCCAGGCATTTGCCCAGGGCCCGATGTGGGACCCTCCGTTTGCAGCTAGGCCTTACTAAGCTTGCAATGGGCATGTTACACATTCAACACCCTGCTAATCATGGAAAAGCATGTCACACCCAAGTGTGTGTGATCATTACAAATCAGAGAGAAGTTGTCACACAATGCTATTCTCAACACACTCTGATCCAAGCTGTCAATAAGACTTGAGTTATATACTTCTCTGCTAGCCGTTAAGCCAAATTTTCTTGATAAGCTAAAGGTAGCACCTCAACACTGGGGATCCAAATGTGGATTGCTACACACAATTCTGATGATGTTTTTATCAAACCAAGAATAAAGAGATACAATTTTGCGTTATGGAATTTTTGATGGGTCAATCATGAGTTTGAGGGGATAAAGGTGATGAAAATGATATTCATGGGTGTCAAATTTAGGTTCTTGATGCATACATGTCAGATTGTTTTCCCATTGAAAGAGCAACAAACCATGAATATACAGATCAGAAAGTGGGAAGATTGAAGATCCATTCAAGATTTAGCTTATTGATATTTTCATCCATCAACTTGATCTTGGATGATTGACAATTTTCTGTCACTGGATCAAAATCACTCATTTTAGCTTTGCTTTCTGTGATTTGAAAATATTTTCCCAACAGAGCCAAGTAAGAAAAGATTAAAATCAGTTTGAAATTCATATAGAAATTCTCAAAATGATTTCAAGGGAAAAATATTCTACTTACCAGTGTCCACACA